GCCTCAAATGCGGTCAAGCAACGCATAAGAGGTCCTCCGTACGATCGCCTGTAGAGGCGACCGTCCAAGACTTGGAAACTTGGGGCCCTAAGCTTGGCCTTTCGAGCACGCTGTGGGTCGTCTGGTAGTCGACCGTGCTCGAGGTACTCTTTTAGATCGGTGATCCAATTGTCTTCCACCGGTTGGATTGGATTGACCGGTAAACGATGGATGCTATGTCTTGGGATCACCAGAATTCGTGCTATCTTCGACATGTGTTCCAGGGCGTCTTGAGCCAATTTTGACAAGATGTCCGCGTCGGCATTATCCAATCGGGGGATGTGCCGGACGGTATACCCCCGGAACTGAGCAAGCTTCTCCATAGCTAGGTCTCGGTATAGTTGTAGACGCTCTCCATTGACTTCATAGTCTCCGAGAACCTGCCCGACCACGAGCGCGGAATCTGTTTGAGCTCGGACGTATTCAGCCCCCAAGTCCCGAGCGCACTGTAAGCCGTTAACAAAGGCTTCGTACTCGGCCTCATTATTGGTCGGATGGAACTGATACATGAGAGCAAAGTAAACTTTGAATCCCTCCGGGCTCGTAACCACCACTCCCCCTCCTGCGCCTTTCTTGCTACTCGACCCGTCAGTAGCCAACGACCACCACTCAGCCTCGGGATCCTCAACTTCGGGGGGTCGGGTATCCCGGGCGGTGCACTCGACCAAGAAATCAGCTAAAGCTTGACCCTTAATGGCTGGTCTTGGTCGGTATTCGATCGCGTACTGGGTCAACATCAACGCCCACTTGACTAGGCGACCGGATGAGGAAGCAGTTCGGAGGACTGGCCCAATCGGCTGATCGGTCAACACGCGAATTGCTCGACCCTGGAAGTAGGGAGCCAACTTCTTTGCGGCGATGTACAAGGCATAGACGACCTTCTCTAACCGGGAGTACCGGAGCTCAGGACCATGTAGCGCGTGGCTTACATAGTACACCGGTCGCTGGACCCCTTCCGGATCGGTTCGGCACAATACTGCGCTTACTGCACGATCGGAGACGGCGAGGTATACGTCTAGCTCTTCTCCGAGCTCGGGCTTTGAGAGCACGATTGGTGACATGAAATACTCCTTCAGCTCATCAAAAGCCGCTCGGCATTCTTCGTCCCAGACGAATCCATTAACCTTTCGCAATACCTTGAAGAAAGGTAAAGCGCGCTCGGCTAACTTGGAGAGGAATCGGCTGAGGGCTGCCAACCGACCGGTTAATTGCTGGACTTCCCGTACGGTAGAAGGTGGTTGCATGTCCAGAATCGCTTTTACTTTGGCCGGGTTGGGCTCGATTCCTCTCTTAGTCATCATATAGCCGAGGAACTTGCCGGTTTGAACCGCAAATGTACACTTGGTTGGGTTCAACCGCAACTGGTACTTCCTCATAATCTGGAAGCATTCCCGGAGGTCCCGAGTGTGGTCGGATCGGTCCCGACTCTTGACCAACATATCATCAATGTAAGCTTCCATCGTTCGGCCTAGCAAATCGGCAAAGAGCATATTGACCATTCTCTGATAGGTGGCTCCTGCGTTGCGGAGACCGAACGGCATCACTCGTTAACAATACAGCCCGTCCGGGGTTACGAAGGCTGTCTTGCTCTCATCTTCATGGTGCATCATGATTTGGTGATAACCCTTGAATGCATCCATAAAGCTCATCAATTCGGCCCCGACCGTCTCGTCGACCATCTGGTGGATACTCGGTAGAGGATACGGGTCGAGCGGACAGGCCTTGTTGAGGTCGGTAAAATCGATGCACATCCTCCACGCTGGGGGCTTCGGAACAAGAACTATATTAGCCACCCACTCGGGATAAATCACGGGTCGGATGTGCTCGATCGCCGCCATCTTCTTGACTTCCTCTCTAACAAACTTACGGCGATCGGAAGAAAGGTGCCTGGTTTTTTGCACCACCGGCTTTGCTGCGGGATCGACGGCCAGTTTGTGACAAATAACGGACCGGTCGATCCCGGGCATGTCCTCGGGCCCCCAAGCGAAGATATCGGCATACTCCCGAAGTATGGCCAAAATTTCTGCTCGGAGATCGGGGGTGAGGGCCCGACCAATCTTGATCTTCCTATCCGGTCGGTCCTCGGATAGGGGAACTTCTTCTATCTCCTCGGAAGGCTCCGGTTGTTCCTTCCGATCTTTAGCCTCTTCTTTGGCTATGGTGTTCACCCGGGAAGACGAACCAGAATCGCGTCTGTTAACCGCTCGGGTGTAACACTTCCTGGCGGATTGGACATCGCCACGGACTACACCTACCCCATTGGGGGTGGGGAATTTCATGCATAGGTGAGGCATTGAAATTATCCCACCGATCTTCATAATGGCAGGTCGGCCTAAGATAATGTTGTGGACGCAATGGAGGTTGACCACAACGAACTCTAACTCCGTCTTGATCGACTTCGGGGATGTGCCGATCTCGACCGGGAGCGTTATCTTTCCCTCGGGGTAAATAAGGGCCCCGGTAAAGCCAGACAGTGGTACACCGACCGGAGTCAGCTCCTTCCTGTCTAGTCCAAGCTTTTCGAACACGTCCAAATAAAGGACGTTCACACTGCTGCCAGTGTCGACCATAACCCTTTGGACATCCGTCCCTTTCACATCAATTGTGACCACGAGCGCCTCCATGCCGTGGTCACTGCTGCTGGGTTGATCTTCCAGGGTGAAGGTTATGGGCTCCATCTTTTGCCTCTTCCCGGTCTCCCGGGAGTCCACTATAGCGACCGGGCAATTACTTCTCGGTCGGGAAGCATCTTCCAATCCACCGAAAATAACGTGGATGGTCGGCTTTCCTGCTGGCCGGCTGCTAGACGGAGGGTCAGGGTCCCGTCGGTCATCACGACGATCATCTCTACGATCGTCTCTTCGGTCCTGACCTGACCGATCAGAACGGTGGTGAGAGCGCCGCTGTTCTCTCCGATCGGTATTCCTCTTGGGGTCCTCTCTCCTCCCCACACATTTGTCCAACTTCCCTAGATTGAGCAAATCTTCCAACAGTTGGAGCAAGTGGGTACACTCTTCAGTGTCATGCCCAGCACATCGATGGTAAGCGCAATGCTTACTCTTGTCAGGGCCATCTCGATCGGGATGGGGAAGCTTGATGAGGTTGCATGACTGAGCATACTGCATGGCCTCCGCTGCGGATCGGTTCAAGGCCGTAAACTCACCAATCCTGGTGCGGGATCGGGGATGGTCATCTCCCGATCGGTGTTCCGCCCGGCCGGCCGGTTTACGGGATGAAGACCCGACCTCCTGCGAGCGCTTTACGGCGTTCGCCTCGCCAGCATTGGCATAATCTATGACCCTTCGAAGGGCCTCCTCATACGTGGCCGGGGGTGTAAAATGAAGTCCTGATATAAATATCCCGCCCGGAGAGAGATGTGTAACATGTGGGTGGCGGTGGCATCGTCCATGGGCTCTACCTCCCCGACCGCCGCCTTCCATTTGGTGAGGAAGTCGGTCAAGCTCTCGCCTTCAAGTTGCTTGGCCTTTTCCAGATACATATAAGGCTTTCTCACCACTTTGGAAGTGATAAACTTCCTCACAAACTTGACCGCTAGGGTGTCAAACCTGTCGATCGAACCCGACTGCAAAGTTCGGAACCATTCCGCCGCTCGACCGGTAAGCGTGGAGTAGAAAGCCCTGCACATCACGGCGTCCGACACACCCTTCAGCGTCATATTGCTATAGAAATCGTTGACGTGAGCCTCAGGGTCTGTCCGACCATCGTAACTCTTCTCTCCAAAGACCTTTAAATCGAGCGGGTAAGGCTGAGCCATTACCGCCGCTATGAAAGGCGTCTGATGCAAGGTCGGTTGTCCAACCGGGGTTGCTGCAGGGTGCGCGTTTCTAAATTGCGCAAATTCCGCCTGGAGGTTATAGAGTAATCCTCAGGTCTCGTTGAGCTCGGCGGCTTGGGCTGTATCCCGAGCGCGTCGCCGTCGGTGAGATCTTGACCCGCTATACCCAGATGAGGCCTCCTGGCTAGCCTCCTGCATCTGCACGTCTTCTTGCCCGCGTTTCGGGTCTTGGGGTCCCAAACGCTGGCGCATCTCCGGTCGAAGACGACCAAAAGCTGCCGCTCGGGCAGTTTCTTCGGGGTCCTCCGCTTGGACGGGAACCTCGACCGCTTGCTGGGCCTGCCCTGGTGCCTCCATCGCATCAGCACCCCCCGACCCCAACCGCGAATGAGCCGAGCGTCGAGCCCGGGAAGCGGACTGACGCTGCGGCTCTACCTGTGCGGTCGGTTGTACTGGAGGGGCGGCGGCTGGAGCTGTGTAAGCAGGCGTATATGGTGGGTAACCAACCGGGGGAGTGTAATACATCGGTTGGCCAGGCCAATACCCGTACGGTAGAGGTGGGACTGGGTATGGATATTGGCCGGGATACATCATCGGCTGCTGCTGATATGGCTGACCGGGTGTTGTGTATCCCGGTTGTATGTAGTTCACCGGTTGTTGGGCGACCGGGTATGTGTTTGACGGATGCGGTGGTGAGAGATTGAGATTCAACTCTACCGTTTGACCTTGCTGTTGGGTGGCGTGGTGCCCAGATGAGCTAGCTGCGTCCGCCTGGTCGTCAGCGAAGTTATTTTGAGCCCACGGATACATGGTTGTAGAGGGAGCGGGTGCTCATCAAGACGTTGCTTTCTCGCACGGGTCCCCACGGACGGCGCCAAAATGATATTGCTAATTCTACACAAGCAATATAAAATAAACTCGAGACCAATTAAAGCAAGTAAAAGACTTTATTGATCGTGGTAAAGGCCCTAAGTACAATCTACTTGGTTGCTCTGAGTGCCGACTGACTACGGTCGGGATTCTCTAGTAACAACCTATCGATCGTCCAAAAATCCTCTACACTGTAGCTACTGTGGGTATTTATAGCCGATGTGCCGGGGACAAGATTCCAGCCGTTCGGCATGTTCTCCACGTAGCCACCACGTGTCATCCTCCCGGGTGCCCTGTCTGTCATCGTAAAGAGCCGCCACGTGTCCTTTGTCAGCTCTCTCGCCAAAGGGCTACCGCTCGGTGGTCGACACTAACGCTCGGGCAATTCCCGGTCACTTCCCGACCAGGTTCTTCATAAAAAGCCCGACCTGCTACCTGCAAAGACAAAAGACAAAGACAAAGGCAAGTCGGTCGTGGTGAAGCTTATGTCGGTCGGGATATTCCCTACCAATATATATATATATATATATATATATATATATTGTTGATTATTCAAATAATGTAATAATCATACTGATATAAATCGAAAGAATTTTTTTTTTAAAAAAAAACTTACATTTCTACAACATGCTTCCAATCATCATCGCGAATGCGATGACTAAGAGGGTCCCACAAATAAACAATATCCTTAGTGATGTTGATAACTGTCAGAATCAAATGGAAACTATGCACAAACACATAATTATATTACATCAACACAAAATAATATGCAATTGAAAGTATAATTGTAACCATTCTTACCCTATATTACATGGCACCAAAAGTGTTCATTACTTGGATTGTCCATCAGTCTGTTTGCTAAAGCTCGTGCCCTGGTTTCCAACTGTTTTTCTAGAAAATTTTTACCTGTTCTTTTCGTTGGCACATGCCCTACATGACGCGTCTGCATAAATCTGAATTTGTCAAGCTTGTTCTCTTCCATCATCTTTTTATACAAATACCTAGCATTGGAATGGAAACTGAATTAGAATAACAAAGCATAGAAGTGATAAGTTATCAAATTGACTCGAAATATATATTAAATCATACCATATGTACACTGCAATACACGTGTACGATATTGGCATCAATTGACAAAAAGGAATCACAACTTCATCGTGCACATAGAGAGTACATTCTTCCCCGAAGACATTATTATCTAGCAATATTTGTAAACTCTCTCCATTCCCAAGTGCACGCTTGTAATGGCAGTAAAGTAGCCATAATGACTTAGGCATACTTGAGGAGTTCAACTCAAGCTTTTTGACTTCCTTGCCCGCTTTCTTCTTAGATTGTTTCTAATTTGCAAAATATACCCATATTAGCTAGATAAATAAATATACTAAGAAAGGCATGTTTATTATATACATAATAAGTAAAATTTACCTCCAAGACATCTTCCTTGTCAATAAATTGCAGCTCATTATCATCCTCCTCAAAATTCAATTTTTGTTGAATATCACCAATTTCTTCTTCACTTTTCTTGGCACCCTTTGCATCCTTTGCATTACAACTGCGTTTTGCTTCAATCTGAATATTACAGCCAACATTTTGAAGTACCATATTTTCTAACTTTGCTACTCTGTCTTCAACTATGGCTTGTCGGCTTAGAAGAACATTTTTCTCATGAGCAGGCATCATCCATCTACCCATTCTGAAATATGTTGAGGGATTGACATGTCCCCCTATAGCCCTCACCCGACCTCCATGCTCCTTAGATTCAAGAGACTGTGTCAGAATGTCCTCATTTGGTCCTTGAAGTTGCAACAAACCATCTTGCTTTTGCTGAATATATTCATCCTGTAATGCATGACAAATGACCATGATATAACCACAATATTTAGAAATACATAAAGAGGATAATACCAGTAAAGGTTTTGCTTACAATCTTTGTAAATTTTGTCTTCAAAACATCTCCTCAATTCTGTTGACTACAGGCAAGAAGATTTATAAATGTCAAACTTAGGCTGAAAATGAGTTTGAGTTAATAATAGTGAAAGTGAAATAATAATTACTTACAATTTCACTAGCAAGACGCGCATATCCTTTACGAGCAAGCCTATGTGGATAAAGGTTTTTCTTTCTTCGTAACTTTTGTTGCTCGCTTAGTTTCTAAGACAAACATGATCAAATTAAAACTTCACATTATATTTCTGCCATAGCACCATACATTAAGATAAAAACTTCACATTATATTTCTAACCTAAAAATTATGCTTCATGCTTAAAAATAGAAAATAGAAATGAAAAATTATGGCATGAGGATGAATGACTGATGCAGCTTAGTTATGAAGCTACTTGAGAAAAAACAGAAATAGAAACAGAAGCTGAGTTCATAAATTGTGAGAAATTGGAGATCTGCTGTTCTAAACAATGTCTACAGAGTTCTGGTCTGGGATATAGTTGATTTTATAGGTTGAGAAACTGGAGATTAGCTAGTTTGAACTGCAACAGCAACATGAAGCTTCAGGAAGGAGTGTTGCTGTTGCAAAATTGATGAACAGATGATCTGCAGGGTGGACCTATGCTGCATTTTGATGCTTGATTTAATTTGAAACAGAAGGAGCTAAGGTGCAACACTTAACATAAGGAGCTAAGCTTTTTGGTTCTGAATGATATGCGGTCTTAATGAAGTTGGTAAAGTATTCAGGAAATACAAATTGGTAAAGTATTCAGGAAATATAAATTTAATACATAAACACTTCTAGTTTTGAGGTTACCTTAAAGTCTTCAGACATGCGGATAATCACAAATTGAGTCCATTCATCTCCCATAATATCATATCCTGCGGGTGGTTTATGCAAGTTTTCTTCATCATTCAGTCTCTTCCAAATAAAGTTATTTGTGAGTTGTGTTTTATATTGCTGCCATTTGTCATTTGCTGAGCTCAAGCAATTTTTCTTGAATTGTGCCGGAACAATGAAGCTCAACTACATAGAAAAATTTTTATTAGAATTAAAAGACTAATATGTTAAATATCACAATTAATACAAGTAAAAGAATGAGAATTTGCTTACATTAACAGCGTTCCATATCTTATCTTTAATATCTTGTGGCACATGTTTCCATGTCTTAAAATTCAACTTGACCTTTTCTCTTGCAAGGACATGAATGTAACTTTGCAGTTCTGTAGCACTTTTTCCAATCGGCTGTACCAAAGCATTGAATTGTACCTCTTTCTTCACTCCTTGTACCCTTTGCATATCAAGCTTATGCATTTGGGTACGACCTCGAGTGCTCCTCGTTGATGAAGTATCTAGAGAACCTGACATTTTTTGTTCCTCATCCACCTGAACCTCTTTTCCATTGTGTTCTTCATCACCATGTACTTCTTGTCCCTTTTGTTCCTGATGTTCAGTTTTTTTCTTTCTTCCAACAACCATAGAGCCCGCAAACCTAATAAGCACAAAAATATAAAAACAAAATTATTAGAAATGTTTGAATTCATTTACAGAAGTTGGGAGCCAAAAAAATTGAAGGCATTAAACCTAAGAAAGATTTAAGAATACATACATAGTCAAATTTAAAATATAAGGTTTGAAATGTTATACACTAACTAGATAGGAGTTCTTATTCTCAACCCAAGTCCCATCACAATCTTCTTGAATGCATGGCGGTTCACTCTCATCTTTATCATCAACATTCATAGATGGCATCCCATTCGTAAAGCATTGATGATGAATTATTGTTTCATCCATCTCAGTCTCATCTTCAAAGTAATCCCGATTAGGAGTTGCAAGCACGACAGACCATATAGGATCTTGAGGGTCTTGAATATAAAATACTTGCTTGGCTTGACTCCCCAAGATAAAAGAATCAGATTTGAATCCAATCTTATTGAGGTTTACTAATTTGAAACCACGATCATCTACTTTAATACCATTGTTATTCTCAACCCAATTGCATTTGAACACAGGAACTCGAAAGGTATGGTAATCAAGCTCCCATATTTCATCAATAACTCCATAAAATACCATATCTGACTCAACGGGGTTCTTATCCTTTGCACTAGAAACTTGCATTATATTTGCAACTAAGCTTACTCCTGAGTTTTGGACAGGTCGCAAATTATCATGATCTTTGGTATGAAAAGTAACTCATTCAATTAAATAACCAGAGTATTTTAACACTTGGTTCCGAGGACCATGTGCCAACCATTTTAGTCTTTCTGATATTTCATGGGTGGAATCATTTATTGCTCGTCCAACCTAAAAATGATAACACTTTAAAATTTGTATATGATAATAAAACCGGTGACTTTTATTTTGTTGTACTAATCATAGTTATACAACTTACACGATCACGTAACCAATTAATAAATGTGCGGTTATGCTCATCAAGTAGCCCCTTCTCTGTCCTAACCTTACCACCCAATGTAGCCTACAAATGTGCCTTGTGTTCCCTAAGAAACGGTATTTGACCAAAGTCAATTAACCACTACAATATATATAAACAATAAACAATATATTCGAAGTTTTATCAGAGTTGGAAAAATTACTTAGCGTATTGGTCTATTTCTACATCATTTGCCAAAATATAACGATGTGATTGCTCCCACTCTACTTGGCTAATGGATTGCACTTGAGCACCTGATAAAGGCCGAGTACGCACCACTTCATGAAATGTTGATGGGATCCCAATTGTTTGTACGTTAGACAAATACTATGAGCAAAATTCTATAGCTTCTTCAGAAATATAACACTCGGCTATACAACCTTCTGGTCGATTGCGATTTCGCACATAACCTTTCAAGATTTTCATATATCTTTCAAATGGGTACATCCATCTATACCACACCGGTCCACACAATTTGACCTCCCTCACAAGATGAACAGTTAAGTGAACCATTATATCAAAAAATGAAGGATGAAAGTACTTTTCCAGCAAACACAGCGTTGTCATCTTGTAGCGCATCTAACTTTGAGGCATTTATCACTTTGCTACATATGACATTAAAGAAGAAGCACAATCGAGTGATAGCATACCTTACATGTTTGGGCAACACACCTCGAATAGCAACTGGAAGCAACTGTTGCATGAAAGTGTAACAATCGTGAGATTTAAGACCAACAAGTTTCAACTCCTTCACATTGACAAGGTTTCTCACATTAGATGAATAGCCTGTTGGGACTTTCATATGTAACAAAGAGTTGCAAACTTTCTTTTTCTCCTCTTTGCTTAGTGTATAGTAAGCAGGTGGCAAAAACGTTCTCTTCTCCCCTTGTTTTGGTGTCAACTCCATTCTCACATTCATTTCCACAAGGACTAGTCGAGCAGCTATCACATCTTTGGTTTTTCCTGGGATGTCAAGTAATGTAGCAATAATACTTTCACTTACATTTTTCTTCTCAATGTGCATGACATCAAGAACATGCCGAACATGCAAATGCTTCCAATACTCAAGCTCAAAGAAAATTGATTTCTTTTTCCAACATGATTCCCCATCCAGGCCCATGAACACTCCACTTATAGACTGATTTCAGTACGCTGCCCCAGAAATAATGCCACTCATGACTTTTTTTTTTTAGCTCGGTGCATTGCAATCAATTTTGGGTTGTTTTTACTAACTCTGATTTTTGTTTCTTTTGCACTAATTCCCCTGCATTGTATATATTATAATCTGTATATATATATAGTAGGATATAAACTCCAAATTGCTTAACTTTGATCATCACATTTAAACACCGAACTATGAACCTACCCTCCCTTAGTTACCACATAGCATATAAACTATAGACTGTCATACCTACGTTGATCAAGCAGAACTTGAACACATTTAGACAACACCCTACCCTCCCTTAGTTAGAGTCCAGTGACTATAATTTGATTAGGGTACATTTTACTTTTAAAGTGTATAGTATAAGGCTCAATTCATAAGTTGACAAATTGAACATGTTTTTTTTTTTTTTTTTTAATTTAATTTACTTCCTCTATCCCACTTAATTTGTCCAATACTCCAATTTACTATTCATTGGCCAATTCATTTTTTTTTTCTTTAACAAGTTCTTATAGAACTATAAATGTAGTTTTTAAACATACATACATATACAAGGATGGAAGGAGTATTAGTGTATAAAAAAGTAAAAACAAAGTAATGGATATTTGCGTTTAATTCCTTGAAACAAGATTATTCCTTTTCAAAGCCACCATATCTTTAAAATTCCAATCCACTTTGCAACTGTTTTGGAGTTTTAAGTTTGTCTCTGTGCAAAATCTGTTAGTTACATAACTTACATAGGCTCTTCTCTTTGAACCAGCATGCATGCATACCAGAAATATAAGTGCATGTGTTCAAACTAACACTACACAAGATCTGCATGACAAATTAGAGTTTTAATTATTTTAATTGTATTTTCATTTTTAGTTTTAATTTCACTTTTTTGTGTAACTCAGAGTTTTCACTCCCGAACATAGTGACTAATTCACTAGCTGGATTAAAAAAAAAAGTGTCAAATAGTGCAATTAAATCCAATAATTAAAAAAAATACCTGTGGTATGCTTTTCTTAAGTCACATATCCCCATTGACAACATTAGAACCGACAATTACAGTCAAATTCTGAAGCAGCAGGCGAACTAATGGTCCTCCCATCCGAATCCTCAAAAAGTGAATAGAAATCAACACAATCCATGGAAAATGTGTGGCGTTGCGGTGTTAGATGAAGGAATACCTCTGCAAGTATCAAACGGAAATTTCATCACAACTATAGCATTTGGGGGTGTTAATTAAGTTGAATTGAAAACTGGACACTTCTGACTCTTAGGGAATGATAACCAACTAAACATACTATTCGTATATCGGAGATCTATGGTGTTTGTGCAACGATTACTGGAAGATGTTACCTGAGCAGGAATGGCGAAGCGTCAAAGTAGAGCAAGTGGAGGTGGAGGTGGAGGGCGGCAAACCCTAAAGTCTCTAAAATAATTGGGCTAAATGCGGTGTGACTTGTGGACAATGCGGAATATATATATATACATACGTCTGTATATATAATAAATAAATAAATAAATAAATAAATATATATATATATATATATATATATATATATATATATGTATGTATTATATATATGTATATATATAAATATATATATATATTTATTATATGTATGTATGTATTTATTTATTTATTATATATACAAACGTATAGTATGTATATTATATATATATATATATATATATATATATATACACGTCTGTATATATAATAAATAAATAAATACATAAATTTCGACCACCAGAAAGTGATCTTAAATTAAGTTGAATGCAAAAAGTGGTCGAAAATAGCAACAAGGGTTTTTCCGGATACCAAAAGTGGTCGAAACAAGACTTTCAACTTGATTTAAGATCACTTTCAGGTGGTCAGAAATTTCAGAATTTCCAGTAGTGTGTGTATATATATATATATATATATATATATATATATATATACCCATTATATGGCTAACTCTCTTTGGCTCTTATTTCGTTAATTATTTATTATTGCTCATTAATTTCTATAAGAAAGGTCTTAGGTTCTAACTTCATCCCAATTAGAGTTTGCATAATTGTTAAACATGTACTACGAATATGTTAAAATGTATTAAAAATATAATAATAAAATTTAACATAAACTTTACTCAAATAATTAACCCGACTAAATACATAGCATTCAATGATTATAAATCACGAACTTTGAAAATTATTTGATTTTATTTCATTTAAAAAAATAAGTCAAATAATTAACCCGACTAAATACAATGCATTCAAAGATTATAAATCATGAAATTTGAAAATTATTTGATTTTCTTTCATTTAAAAAAAAAAGTAAGTTAATTTTTTTTTGTTTAATTAATTTTCTTTTGATTATTGAGAACCAAATATATTGGAACTTTATATTTTGAATTATTTATTATCATCCTCTATTGACAGCAATTGTCATTGACAAACTCTCAAATGCAAAATAAATAAAAAATAAAAAAAAGTGTCTCAACAACGAATGGAAATAAAAAAAAAAAATCAATGATTTCATTATGTGGATGAAAAGTATGTACGCTATTTTATTGCTCTTATTAAATTAAAAAATAAATTAGTATCTAGGACAAAAAATAATACATATGCATTTAATTAATTTAGAATTAGATGTATATAATGACTCTATTTAAAAATGAATTATTCATTATAAGAATTTTAAAAAGAAATATAATTTCATTAGTTATATTATCTTTATTTTCTACAATTCAAAGATTCCTTACCTTCAGGCGATTCGGTGACGTTGTTAGAGTTTGAAGACTTCCTCGTCAATCAGGAGGTTATTTGTACGGAGGACGGTGCGCTAGCGATTCCTGCAGTGCTGGCTGTTCAGCGTGGTCGTGGGCAGTCGCAGGATCGTCTTGGTGGCGGTGGTGGTCGCCATGGCCAGTCTGGTGGCGTGCGGTGCCAAATTTGCAACAACCCGAGTCATTTGCCTGATCCCTCTATGGTGTCGTCAACTGCCAACTACAATGGCTCGGACATGTTGCGCTTCGGAGATGGTACAGGTTTTCCTATTATTAGCGTTGAAACTTAATGTGCGTGATTTTCTTTATCAATGTGTGTTGTTTTTCTTCTTAAGGTGTGTGATTTGTATGCTTAAGGTGCATCAGTTTTGTGAAACTTAAGGTGAGTCATTTTAAAACCTTAGGTGTGTGGTTTGTGTTTTTAAGGTGCTTGTTGTGTGCATAAGGTGCGTGGTTTGTGTACTTAAGGTGTGTGGTTTGTGTTTTTAAGGTGCTTCGTTTGTGTGGTTAAGGTGCGTCAACCGTACGAGAAGCCTATACCCGCACCTGAACCCTTCCCTATATATATGTGTGTGTGTAGGGAAGTGGGGGGGAGGGGGGGAGGGGGGGGGGGAGGGGGGATCCGGTTCAGGTGAAAACCTACCTTATCGTGTGAACTTGAAAACTTCTGCTGACCATTGATCAAGCATGATTAAATGGCCCACAATTTCTTAACATTTTTTTTTGAAAGTCCACAATTTCTTAACATATTTCCACTGTTCGTGTTTAAAAGAAACGTACAAGGTTAATATGATCAATGCAACGATCTGTTCCTTTAATTCCAAAATAATAACTATGGATGGCAACGGGCAGTATACTCTCCGTTTCTATTTTTGGCGGGAAATTAAAAATAATTCATATTGGCAGAAAATTTGACGGAGATAGGGATTGTCAACTCTTAGTCAAAATCTTAAATTAGTGTGATTTTTAATTTTAAAAACTAAAAACATAAGTTTTAATTTAAAAAATTAATATATATATATATATATATATATATATATATATATATATATACACTGAAAGGTTCCCGTGCGGATGTGCGGTGGATTAATGTGCGTGAGATTTGTACTCAATGTGCGTGAGTGTTGTGCTTAATGTGCTTGAGATTTGTACTTAATGTGCGTGAATGTGTAAAATACAGCAGAAAATATTGATGTCAGCTTCTTCCCCATTCCAAGTAGCCATTGCCCCCTCCCTGATGATGATGATGCGGAGGCGGGCTATGGTGGTTAAGAATTATGGGAATAATACAACAGAAATTCACACTTAGCTGCTGTGCAAATTTTACTGTGCGTGCGTCATCTATATAAACATTCAACTGCGCTGAAGATAGCTGATAATCCAGAATCCATGGCCAAATTGAAGGAAGAAATAAGAAGAAGCTTGGGCGTTAATGTGCGTGAGTTTCTGTTCTGCTTCCTTCTGAGCTCGTAATTATGAAATACTCACGCATATTAAGCACAAATCTCACGCACATTAAACACAATACTCAGGCACATTAAGTACAAAACTCACGCATATTAACATGACGCATATTAAGTACAAATCTCAGGCACATTGAGTACAAATCTCACGCACATTAAGTATAAACCTCACGCACATTAATCCACCGCACATCCGAACGGGAAGCCACAAATGCACATGATCCCTTCCATATATATATATATATATATATATATATATATATATATATATATACATCTATTTATTTATTTATTTTTAATTATAATAATTATTCGGGGACGGGATGGAGCGGGGAGGCGTATCCCCATCCCTGTTCTCGTCCCCGACAGGTTATTGCATACATTTCCCGTCGTGGACGGGGCAAAATTTTCTCAATCGTCGTGGACGGGGCAAATTGACATCCCTAATAATAATTGTTTCCTGCCATTATTGTACTATGTTATTTCTGGTTGTGAAATACATGTCACTACTACAGAACTCACATACAACGTCGAACATATAACGTCAATTTTCTACAAAACCAACGTTAAAACATAAAATAAATTTATAATTTAAAAAAATATTTTTAATGTCGGATTCTACAAAAAAAATCAACGACATAACCCATTTTAAATTAAAAAAATTAACAAACTATCCGACGTCGTTTGGTTGTATAACCGACATCGTATAATATATAATATATGTATATATATATATTTTTTTATTTTTTAATTTAAGTTACGACGTCTGTTCTTCAGAGAACTGACATCATAACCTTTTTCTTAAAAAAAAAAAAATTAATATTCTATACGACCTCAGTTTTTTATAAGCGACATCGTATAATATACGTATTTTTCTCATTTTTTAATTTAAGCTACGACGTCGGTTCTTCAAAGAATCGACGTTGTAACCTTTAAAAAAACAAATTAATACCCTATACGACGTCGGTTTTGGTATAACCGATGTCGTATAGGTATATATGCTTATTTTTTAAAAATATAAGATACGACGTCGATTGTTCGTAACAACCTATGTCATAAATCTATTATAAAAAAAAAAAATGACGGTTCTTTCAAACATAAGCCATCCCCCTCTTTCTTCAACAGCCAGTGCCGTCCTTCTTAAAAAAAAACTCCTCCTTCTTCAAACATAAGCCATTGGCGCCGCCGTCCTTTCTTTTTCTTCTTTGTTGCCGCCGCCGCAACAACCACCACCTAGTCCTCCATTCCTTCTTCCTCTTCTTCTTACTGCCTCCGCGCCACCGCTGACGCCGACCGCCATCACTCCTCCTCTCTTCGGTCTGTTTTGCACCCGCTGCGCTCCCTCTCAAGGCTTGCCGCGCTCCCACTCGCCTCCGCCGTGCCACCCGCCACCACGTCATTGTAAGATTTTATACATTTTTAAAATACTTTTAATTTTTGAATTTTTATAAGTTGAAAATAATTTTTTTAATATATTTAGAATTATTTGTTTATATATTTCGAATTTTAAGAACTATTGTGTATTTTAGGAGTTCTTATTATTATATTTCGAATTATTGTAAATATATATATATATATATATATATATATGTATATATATATATATCAAATTTAAGAAATTATTTTTAATATATTTAAAATTATTGTTAATATATATGAAATTTATAATCGACGTCGTATCATTTATTTATTACATCTGCCAGAATAACGTTTGAAAAAGTAAAACATACCGACGTCGTTTGACAGAAAAAACAGACGTTAAAAATGTTATTTGTAGTAGTGTGTACAAGAGGTGGCCACGGGCCGGTTCAAGGTCGAACCAACCCTGAATCGGCCCGGAAAAAAGTGGGCCTGGGCCTCACTGGGCTTGAGCCGGGCTTAGTTCGAACCGGAACCGGCTTATTAAGGGGCAGTTCAGGTCCTTTTTAAAAAAATTTGAGGCCCAGCACGGAACCGGCCCATGGCCCAGGCCCGAGCACGGCCCAGGCACGACCCAGGCACGGGCCCGGACCTAGGCCCGGGCAAACACAACTAATTTATCCCTATAAATGCCCTTACCCAATTTATTTGTATCACACAAAAATTCTTAATCCTACACTCTCTTACTTCTACTCACAACAATTCTCCATAGATTAAAAGCAAACCCAATTTAAAAGTCTTTTATAACAGGGCGTTTGGTTGGAGGGATTTTAAATTCCCTTCCCACTTAATTCCC